ACTGGATGGCCCTTGTGGCCTCTTCCAACTCTATGATTCTATGATTTGGAATGGACTCCTTCCAATCACATTTTTCCCCAGAAATTTTATTTTCTGATAGTTCTCCAAAAACTCTAAAAGAGTAGGTTCATTCTATGACCCATAGGTTCATCTCCTTTTCCAAACACATGCTGTGAGGTGGGGAAAGCAAGTTGCATGAAAAACTGGAAACAGGAGGCGGTCCCCCCATTCCATTTTCAATATTGAGGGGCAAAATGAGGTTTGTAAGCCTACTGACAAGTTTCCAATACCAGGAATCCTAGGACTCCAACCAGATGGCTCCTCTGTTGTTCTTGACTTTCTCTGTCATCAGAATCTACTCCACAAAGTGGGGTAAGATGACATAAAGAAAGATGACACAAAATAGTAAATTCAGGAATAACAAGCTCCAAGGACAGCTTATTATAGGCCAAGACAAACTTTGGAGAGGTGGGTAGCTGAATTCATAACTGCAAATCCTTTTTTAAAAAAATCGGAAGAGTATGTTTCCAACTTTCATCTCCTATGGATAAAACAACAATAACCCTTCTGTAGTTGGGGGGAAAAATCACCTACATTCATCCTCAAGTATTGTTTCAGAAATTTTGGAACTACCACCAGGTGTCACCATAGAAGCAAAAACTTTCAAAGTAGCAGAGCTGAAATAATATGAAAAGTGACCAACTTCTGTATGTTCAAGGGAGAAATGCATACCCTGTACACATTGCCACCCAGGCATATGATCTGCCTTTCAAACAAAAACGGTTCTGTTTTGTTGCAGAGAAACCTGTTAATGTTTGTAAAGCACAGCAAAGCCAGGTTATTAAATTTCAAACAAATTGTCGCTTTTTATTTCCCATCCTCTTCAACTTAATAGCTACATGCTATTCAGCTACAATTTTCTTTACACACACAATGCAATCACACAGCATTACTAAAGCACTGATGTAAGATTATACTGGCAGCTTTTATTTTTGGTTTTAATGCTAATGGTAGAAACATCACCATGGTACTGTAAGTGAATGCAACTTTTCAGGAACTGAACCCAGTAGGTTTCCCTAATGGATTGTCAGGGGATAATATTACAGTTGTTTCCTTCAATGGCCCAGTGAAGAAAATGGTGCTTCAACTCTATTACTGTCACATTCGTAAGCCACAAAGTATTTAAAGAACACAAGCAATGGGCAACCAACCAGCACAACCAGTGTGCAACCCTTATTCATTTGTTGCAGGGGATACAAATGGCTTCAGGATGGAAAGTGATGTTTTGGCCCTGGTAAAATGTAAGATTTTCCTACATGCCACTTCATTGGAGAACTTGATATGAGGTGTGAATACATGAGTGGCAGAGGTGTGAACTAAATAGTGCTTATGGCATTACAAGTGTCAGTGTTCTGTTTCTCTCATCTCACCCTGAGATGCCTACCACATGTTGTAATGACATCTCAATATGCCAATTCACATCCAGCACAGATGAAACCTGCAAACAAATCAAAGCTGATTGATCTAAAGTAGTCTAGAAAATCCCTTGCCAATTGTATATAAACAAGCCTACTGTATATACTCGTACATGAAATTTTAGTCAAAACATTGACACAAAAAAACTGAGTTGACGTATCAATGGGTAACCTATCCACAAGTCAATGTAAGTACTGTACTTTAACTCTTATTTGAAAAAGGAACCATCCCCTGATAAAAGTCAAGAGTGTAATCTTTCCTGGAAGCATTGACACACACACACACACACCACCCCTACTCTCTCATACATCCTGCCTTTAATGTGAGCACAAACAGTTATGCCTACTGGGATTTTGCAAGTCCTCTCATTGTGTTTCTTTGCTTCATCCTTTAGATCAGGGGTAGGCAACCTAAGGCCCAGGGGCCGGATGCGGCCCAGCAAGGCCTTTGGACCGGCCCCAAACCGGTCCTGCCGCCGCCGCCCCCCCACCGCCGCCGCCCCCCCATGATGATATTGATTATTGTTGTTATTACTTGTTCTTGGGGTTTTCTTGGCAAAATCTTCACAGGGGTTTTGCCATGGCTTTTCTGGGGCTGAGAGAGTGTGCATGCATTTTTTTAAATTTTTTAATTTTTTTTATTTTTATTTATTTATTTATTTATTTATTTATTTATTTATTTTTGGTGCTTCGGCCCGTCAATTGTCTGAGGGACAGCAACCCGGCCCCCGGCTCAAAAAGGTTGCCTACCCCTGCTTTAGATCCTTTCTTATGTGCTCCTAACTTTTACCCTCAACTTATCCATGGGTAATATCAACATCCATAATTTTGGCCCCAACATCGACTTATCTATGAGGTTGACTTATAGTTGAGTAAGCAGTTACACATTCTTTTATTGAAAACATTTGTCTATTGCTTCTCAAACCACAAGTGCCCCTCAAGATGAGGCACATCAGATAAAAAACTAGCTACTCAGTGGTTACATCCAATTGCTATTTCTAATTAGATAGAATCACTGGATGGTAAGTATGTAAATCCTACTGATTCAACTGGTCTACTCGAATTGGAAGAAGCAAGTGTGGCATAGTGGTTTGAGTGTTGGACTACGACAATGAAAATCAGGGTTTAACTCCCAACTCAACCACGAAACCCACTGGGTGACTTTGGGAAAGTCACTCTCAGCCTCACGGAAAGGCAGTGGCAAACCTCCTCTTAACAAATATTGCCAAGAATGGATAGCTTCAACTTAGGGTTGCCATAAGTCGCAAATAACCTAAAGGCACACAAAAACAACCTTGAATTGGAACTATCAACTGGATGTGTGCCATAGTATTTCTCTATACAGCAGAAGCAGCCTAGTCCAAATGTTCATGATAGTCATTATGGGCCTCTTCACACTACACAACTGTAGCATTATATTCCACTTTGGCTGCTTGGTTCTGTCCTATGGAATCCTGGGACTGGCAGTTTAGAGAGGGATGTTCAGAATTCTCAGCCAGCTCAATCACTTCAGCAAACTGCAAGTCCCAGGATTCCACAGGAAGTTGCCAGGACAAAAAGTGGAACACAGAGCTAAATTTGTGTAGTGTGAATAGGTCCAAACTATTGGCAAGGCAAGACAGTACCCACCTAGCTCTCCCAGTTCAGAGAAAACTTTGTTTTTCCTTTATATTTATATACCACCTATGCTTAAGTCAGTGTTCATGGTTTTCCTTCTCCCGTATAACTTGTGAAGTTAAGTCAGGCTGAGAGAGTGGCTGTCCCAAGGTCAGTCAGTGGATTTCGTGGCTGAATAGGGACAACAACATGGTCCCAATAAAACACTACACCCCAATAGCAAAGTACTTTTCCACATTTTATCTTAAAGCATGCTTTATCCTTCTTTTTGCAGACTAACTTTTGCTATATAAAGAGGACATCCCACAAATTCCTAGGCCTTCAGGTGCAGATGGGACACTGCTGCTGTTGAACATGTAAAGGATAAAATGGGAGTGTGCCTTGAACATACTAACAAAATAAAACAGCAAATGCAGAGATCTGCTCATTAGAATAACTTAGGTTGCAGTCCTGTACTCACTTACCTAGGAGTAAGTTCCACTGAATGCAGGTGCATCTACTTCTGACTAGGCATGCACATGGAAGCAACATTAAGGTATGATGCATATGTTCACCCTCATTTTTTAGCCCCCTTTCTTCCCTTCCCATAAGTTCTTCACTCATAACACTCTGATTGTCTGAACCACATTACAAATAAAAGCTGCATTCTTACATGTCAACACACAGTGCTTACTATGTGAAGGTTTTAGGTGGTGTGCAAAATCACATATTCTGCCCAAGGCAAATTAAACTGGTAATTTCTGTACTGTAAGCAGGGAAGTGCCAAAAAAGTTGCCACTAAGAAGAGTGTTGCTATAAATTTGCCCTCACATGCAATTATGCTATCAAGTCTACATATCATCTGCATTGCTGACAAATTTCCAGAAATGGTAGGCTAGTGTAAAAAAACGGCCCTGGTTCTCCCAGTCCATGTATGTGCCTAAACCAAATTAAATTAATGTTCAAATAAAAGCCATACATTTTGTGGACTCGTTTTTCATCATGCAAACCACTGTTTGGCCTCTAATGTCTTGCCTCACCTTTCCTCCCAATTCATGCATTCCTGCTCTTCCAGACTCCTTTTGTAACTAAATTCATCAGGCCGAATGTCTTGAACCTTTCTGTTCTTATGATCATGCCCTGTGCACTTGTTCCAGCTTGATGGCACTTGGTCCATTAATGATTACCATGAGGCAGTCAAAGCTGACTGAGCCTCAGTTGAGCAGAGTGAATCATTCAGCTCTCTTGCTAAAGAAAACCACAAGTTAAACAAATATTTCCTCTATGCATGATGCTGTTTATAAATCCATTTCCAAGCCAGACAAGCCCCTTTTAGAACAAAACTAGTGAGTAGAACAACATGTAACTAAAACATTTTTACTGATCTTTACCCCCAGTCCTATGAAATGCCATGCTCCTTAATTTTTTAAAAGAGTTACAAAAATACATGTGAGAGGAAATTGTGAATTCCCCACAACCTAGCATCATGATCCCAATTCAAATAGGAATGAGCAAGCACTTATCTCTCTCATCTAT